CACTTTTATTAGCTGTGAGGATCCATCAGTGGATCACAGAAACAAGCTATTATAGGGGAAAATGTGTCATTTGTCGCCTGATTTATTAGAAGATAAATGTGAAACGTTTACAATTTTATAAAATACGTTTTAATCTATATTTGGAGCATTTTTGTATCATTAAAAGTTCTCATTTGTACCAAGAAATAAAAAATAAATAACACCAATTGCGGGTTTATAAGCAGCATTAAATTAATTACATTTTTGAGGATTTATATTTATATATTTACCTTTAATTTTATAAGTTTATAAAGCTGCTGAAACACCAAGACTCCTCCCCCTCCTCCCCTCAGATTCAGGTAAATCTTCAGACTCTTTCGTGTCCGCACCCGTTTCTTTTGCGCATGCGTGCCCAGGTGTAGCCCCGCACCGTTTTTTTTTTTCATGACCAGGTGAGTCGATCCAGTGCAAAGGTGCAGGTTTCTTTCCTTTGGGGACCGACCTTAAAGCTTTAATGAGACAGTGTGGGACCAGCTGGACATAAACCTCCAGAGGCTGCAGAGGACAAAGAATGTCAATTATGGGCAAAATGGGGGAATGGCAGGTATGTGTTGTTTACGTTGAGACGAAAACAAGCTGCGGGAAGATAGAAAAAAAAATGTCCAAATGTTGTGTTGTTTTGGGAGTAACTGAAGATTTTTATTTTGGTCAAACTTAAACTAAAAAAACGTTTAAGACGTTTTAAGTCTCAGTTTGATCAGGCTGTCTGGATTATCTTATTTTATAAGCTCTGATGAAAAGAAAAGGTTTCATGTAACATAAGTTCATTTAAAATCTGATTTGTGCCAAACGCAGGGCGCAGTCCCGTCCTTGTTTTTTGTTTGGTTGGTTTTTTGCGTAAAAACGTCCCTTTTATGTATAAAAGTCTGAAATGCGCCAAACTGCGTGCGAAAAGAGACGAAATYTGTCTTATTCCAAGTTGATGGTGTCTTCAGAAAGCTTGCTTTTGTCTTGAAAAGTGTGGATTCAAGATGTTTGCTGGAAAAAAAGAAAACCCGCCTGAGTTTCACTCAAGTCAGAGCAGCTCTCCACACAGAAACGCAGTTTCACCTCTCCAAGATTCATTAATAACAACTGCCTCTTGTTCTCCACCAAAAATGGTAATCCGCTTTTTAAGCAMAAGAGGCCAACGCCTTAAAAAAAAAAGAAAAGAAAAGAAAAAAATAAAGAAAAGAAAGGGAGAGAAAGAAAAGAGCTGGCGACCTGTCTGCTGACCCCTCCGACCTGCTGAGGTGCAGACTCGGCCCCGGCGACAGGACGCATCCATGGCTCCTGCAGCCGCGCATTCACATGAAACAAGGCCGTGTTGTTGTGTTAATTATTGACACACACACACACACACACACACACACACACAC